GGGTGGAGAGAGGGCTGGAGCCAGGCGGGACCGCGACCCCCCAGCGCCCACCCGCGGGCAGCGTCCCCGCAGCCCCCGGCCGCTCCCCCTTGCCTGCCCCGCCGCTGCGGCGAAGCCAGGAAACGCGTCCAGGAAAAAGGAAATCCGATTTCCGACCCAGCCGAGGAAGCTTTTAAATAGGAATAGAAGATCCCGTGGGCTGGGGTACGGGAGGAGAGAGGGAGTGAGGGAGAGAGCTGTGGGGCAGGGGGAGAGGGAGAGGAGGTGGGTGGGTGGCAGAATGGGTGACAGGAGCGGCGGGTGGAAGCAAGGATATCTGTCGGCATTTGGGGAGTGGACTGCTGTGGAAAGGAGAGATAAACGGATAGATGGATAGAAGGAAAGAAGGAAATGGGTGAAGGGCAGGAGAGACGATGGTGAGTGGGTAGATGGAGGAAAGAAAGTGCAAGAGATGGATGGAAGGGCAGGTAATGGATAAAAGGATGGGAAAACAGGCTGATGGAAAGAACATTGGGTAGATGGAGGGGTTGGCCGGTAGCAGGGATGGAAAGGGGGATGCAGGGACAAGTGGGTGGGGTGGAAGGATGGATGGAAGCACAGGGGAAGGGTGGGTGGGTGGAAAGATGGGTTGGTAGAAAAGAAGGGTGGATGAAGAGATGGAAGGACAGGGTGACGGTGGGTGGATGAAGGATGGGAAGGTGAGTGTGCGAGTGTGGAAAGCCGTGAGGGCAGCTGAAAGGAAGAGGGAAGGGATGGATGTGGTGCTGGAAGGCAGGAAGAGAGAACGGACAGAGGGATAGGGGATAACAGGGTGGGCGCTGGAAGGAGATGGGGCAGAGGAGAGCCCCAGGGCCTCAGCGGGACGGGGCGGGCAGGGGCTGGGTGCTGTGCGGTGCAGGGCGCTGCGGTGGGGCAGCGGCCGAGGGATCCGCCCGTACCTGGCAGGTACATGTTGAGCAGCAGTGGCACCGCTCCGGTGCCGTGTCTCATGGCAGCTGTGGGGGCGGCCCGCGGGCTGCATGTTTTAATATTCCTGCCCCTATTATTATTATTATTATTCCACTTTATCAGGGAGCAGCTGATGGCGAATAAATGGCAGCGGGACGGGCAGGGGACGGGCAGGGGCCGGGGGAGGCGGGGGAGGGGGGAGTTTCCAGGCAACTCGCAGGGGCTGGGGCCCCGGCTCCAGCAATTTCCTCCGCTGTAATTAAAGCGGGCGCTGCCCCCCCCCTCCCTCCCCCTGCTATCGGGCCCGCATCAGACTTTAATCACGGCCGCGGGTTTCTATGGAGAGCGGTTCGGGCCGCTTCCTGCCTCTTCCGCCTCCTTAACTCTTCGCAAACACGGCGCTGACATCCCAGCTGGGAGCGGGCTCGGACACTGCCTGGAGACTGCCCGGGCCCGGCCTCCCACCAGCATCTCTCTTCCTGAGCCGCCGGTCGGCCAGCACGGCCTCGGACCGCTGCACCTCGCTGCACGGCATCGGCATCGGGATGGGCATGGGCATGGGCACTGCCCTCCTGGCGTCTGCCTCTCCGAGCCACAGTGCTGCTGCTGCCTGTGGGGGTCCGTGCCTGCCCCTTCCCCAGCTCCAGACTCATCGACACAATCCTGGGGTCTCCTTGGAGTTCACAGAGCCCTGGCATGGGCCAGGTGAGTCCCCACCAGGTCCCTCCACCTCCAGGACGATGGTCATGTGGTTCCTCTGCAGTGCCCAGAGTTTTGGGGTGGGTGAGCGCATCTCCGGCAGTTGGTGGTACCAGGTCATACCACAGCTCTGCCACCTCACCGGCTCCTCTGTGCCCTTCTGAACAGTCCCTGCCCCAGGGACAGTTAAGCCTGTGACCATCGCACAGCATCCAGCCCTGTCCCAGCCTGTTGCACATCTTTATTAGGATTCATAGAAGCTGAGTTACCCCCAACACCCGCACAAACCAGGACGGCCCCATCTTCATCTGCTTGTCCTGGACAGCGCAGGGTTCATTCTGAAGACAGGAGGACATTTAGTGGAGAGGTTTATAATGAAGAAAAGTGATAACAGTTCCAAAAAGACACATCTGGCCAGGTTCTTCCCTGTCACCCATAGCTCCAGCTGCCATATGCGCTTGTGGCGTGCTGTCGAGTCTCTGTCCCCCAGGTCAGGAGTGGACCCTCCACAGGATCCCACGGCTTGAGGCAGCCAGGCAGTGTGCCAGCAGCTGTCACCAGTTATACTCCATGAGTCCAACACTGTACAGCCAAGCTCACAACTTTTCCTGTGGTGTTTCACTGATGTCTGGAAAAAGGATGAGCTCTTATGCTGGATTTAGCTGCCTTTCTGGAAAGTGATCATTGTGAGATGTGAACCTAATGGGAATCAGGATATGGCCATGCCAGACACGCTGTTATTATTTCTACTGCAGCCAAAATGTTCCTGCTCTGCATAAGAAGCTGCAGCCCAAGGGAAGCAATGCTCAGTTGGGGTGGCACAGCCCAACAGAGCTGGTGTCTCCTCTTGGCAGGGGGTGTCCAAATGTTTAGGAAACAGGAGGTCCCTCGGTTACTGAGTTCCACCTCTGCTCCACGTGCTCCACCTCTGCTGCCCGTCTCCATCATGAACATAGAGCAGATGCTGGCAAGGGGAGACATGAGCAGAGACCATGGTATTCCCGCAGAAATTCCCCACCGACCCTCTTTGGATGTAACAGCCCTTAAAAAGTTTCTCTTCCCCCAGCTTGTCCCCTGAGCCCCCCTGAACCTATCAGTGGGGTGTCCAGCTCTGTACAGCCCAGCAGCCCTGGCTGCTCCCTGCATCCCTCTCCTCCCCAGCCCTGCAAAGTGCAGCTCTCCCAGCAGTGGCTCCGCAGCCTCCCAGACTTGCTTTCGCTGCCTGAGTCACTGAAACAAACCGCAGGCAACGGAAAACAAGCCCCGGAGACAGCGGGGTGAGGTGGGGAGCGTGCCAGAGCCACCCCCCCTCCTCTTCTGGCAGCCTGGGTGACCATGATACTCCTCCAGCAAACCTGCACAGTGGAGGGCATGGAGGGGGGTCTGGGCTGAGGGACATTGCATCAGCCCAGAGTGGGGAGGGCTGCAGTAGGGATCAGGCTGAGAAATACGTTTAGGGCTGCAGGAGCTGGAGAAGGGGGTGCTTTCAAGGGCACTGGGGATGGAGACACCTAGGTCCCTGGGAAAGCCAATGGGTGGGGTGCTAAAAGTGGGACGTGAGGGGACTGGGTCTTTGAGTGATCTGGGGTCAGAGGTGTGCAGAAGGGCAGGGAATGTCAGATCCTAAGATGTGGCAAGCCCTGTGTCCATGTGGAGCTTTGGGGACCCGAGTGATGTGACCCCAGGTTCATGGGGGGAGCTGGGGCAGACCCAGAGGATGAGGAAGGCAGGGTACATGAGAAATCCAGGAAAAAGGGACCCATGTCCATGGGGAAGGAAGGGACTAGGCTGTAGGTCTTAGGAGGATCTAGGAGATGAGGTTTCAGGTCTGTGGAGTTACTGGGGACAGAGCCCTGACATCTGGAACACCCAGCTAGAAGCAGCTGCAGGTCCCTCTTGCAAGAGGCTGCAAGTCTGCCCCCCACCCCCTACTCCAGAGCTCTCCTCCCACCCCAGGTGGAGCAATAAGGACCCCAGACTTTGCACTGACCCACACAGTGCACCCCTACCCCCCCATCACAGCCAGGTGCCCGGGAAAGCTTCACCTGTGAGCCGGTGTTGTGGAGCGGAGCCGAGCTGACGTGGCCCTGGGCTGGCAGCGCCTGGGCAGGTGTGCCGGAATGTGTTTGTGCTGGGGGAGAGGCCGTGGGGCCGTGCTGGGGTGGGGCCAGTGGGGAAACGGAGGAGACAGGGCAGGGCTGGGGTGACCCTGCAGCCAGGATACCATGTGGGATGGGCATACGCAGGTGCTGAGTCTTCTGCACAGCACCACTGGGGCTGGAGGGGACAGGGGGCGTGCAGGGATACGCTTGTGTGCTCATCGTGTGCAGCTCACACACACACACCAGGGCTGGGGTCTCTGCACGCTGCTGGGAACCCTTCTGGGACACTCCCTGTCTCAGGGCCAAGCATGCTTTTAGCAGGGTGGGCATCTGAGGCACTCAGAATTGTTCCAGCATGCATCCGAGTCCTGGGTGTGGGAAGCACCTAGGGACCGAAAGCCTGTGCCCCAGGAGGGCTTTGGAGTGCCAGAGCAGGATAGAAGACAAGGAGGAGGTGAGGAGGAGGAAGTAATGTCCTGGATGCAGGCAACACCTCGGGATGGGTAGTCTGAACCCCAGGAGGGTTCAGAGTGCCAGAGCCAGATGGAAGAGGAGGAGGAGGCTGGGAAAGGGTGCTGGAAGCTGGGTGGGGCTCCCGGTGTCCCGGAGCCGGATACTGGCACGGATATGCTGGCGTGGCAAGGCTGGGGGAGGGCACACACACACACACACCTGTGAGCATCGAGCCAAGCCCCCTACCACTTGTGGAACACTACCCTCAGACCTCCTTCCCCTGACCCTGCACAACCCACCTTCCCCCCAGCCCCTCTGCGCCAGTGCCTCCAAACCTGACGCAACTGTGGCTGCCCCATTTGTTGTCAGTGTCTCATCCTGCTTCAGATGATCCCTATGTTCTTCCTCCTTTCCAGGCCCACAGAAGGCAGGGACACCCTTCTCTCTGCCAGAGGGGTGCAGAGGAAGGTGACCTTGAGTTTGCAGACTATGTAGCAATCAATTTCCCTGGCAGAGAATCAATTGATCCTAGGAGGAGAACCCAGGCACAACCCTCTTGGATGCCCCCTCCCACCTCCAGCCCTTTCTTTGCTCAGTAAGTTCCCCTTTTCCCAGCCAGAGCATCACAGCAGTGGAACTGTGCATGGACACGAGGTGGGGTGCAGAGAGCTCAGCCCAGGGTGGAGCTGGCCATGAGCCCAAAACTGCCTGGGGAAGGGGAAACCTCACCTTCCACCCCACCAAGGGCCCTCCCAGCATGGCAGCCCCCTGAGGAGCAGAGCAGAAGCAGGAGAACTCTTTTTTTTGACAAATGCCTTTATTTGCTACTGGATAGAGGTCTATTGCACAGCAGCCTGGAGGCTGCAGGGCACACAGCCCTGCCCCTGTTCAGTGCTGGACGCGGCGGATGGATTGGATCTGGTTGGTGTGGGCCTGGCTGCTGTATTCATTGTACTTCTTGAACTCGCCGTTCTGTCTGTCCCGCTCCAGCACGTACTGGTAGCCCCTGTATCCTGGGTACTGGTATGCCACCCACCTGCAGGCAGACCCTTGGCTCAGAGCCCCAAGCCAAATCATCCCATCCCATCCCATCCCATCCCATCCCATCCCATCCCATCTCATCCCATTCCATCTCATCCCTCTGCTTGCCCTGGGAGGAGAGGGACAGAAAATACCCAGTGGCTTGTATTTTCAAGGAAAAGGTAGCAGGAAGGCATCCGTTTTTTGAGGGGGTCCCCCTTCCACATCCCGGGGTTTATGCAGGAGGGAGGTGCTTGCTGAACCTCTGCTCTTGGCACCCTCCAGTCCCAGCCCCACTGGCTGCACTCACGCTCCGGCGTTCACTTTGATGGATGCCACCTCCTTGTTGCCCCAGCCCATGGCCTGCAGCGAGGGATAGTCATCACTCAGCTCAAACTTGTGACCCTGGAAGTTCTCAGCCTCGTAGAGGATGACTTTGCTGTCATTGTGGTTCTACGGAGAGACAGACCTGGAGGTCAGCAGGAATGGGTTGGCTTGCCCAGGGATAGGGGATGTGACATGAGTGTGACACACACCAAGGCACTTTGGGACCGTGACCAGCTTTGGTGCAATGCCTGGGGATGTCCTTCAACCTGGCACCCCCTCACTGGGACACCCCAGAAGTGCCCCAAGGATCTCATCTCCCTGTGGTCCCAATGCACGGCTGTCAGTGAGAGTTAGTGGCTACAACCTCTGGATCTACACGGACTGCTGCCCTCAGCATCATCACGCTCCCCAAGTTTGCAGGAGGGTTCAGGGCAAAGCAGATTGCTGAGAGAGGTCCCCTCAGCTCTGTGGGGCCTTTCTGGGTGCTGGACATGGAGGGGTTAATGGCTGGGACACTGAGTGATGCAGCACTGTCCCCCGTGCCCAGCCCCCACATGCATCTATCTGCACCGAGGAGCAGTCCTGCCAGTAAGGAGTGATCTTATCGCATCCCCTTTATTAAAGCCTGCACATATCTGCCTGGTGATTATTAAAAGTTGGGGGGGGACCCCCCGCTCGGAGGCGCAGACGTGCCGCTGCTGCGAGCACCAGTGTCTCTGCAGATGGAGCGATAGAGCCGCGCCTGCCTGGGCACGCCTCAGGTACCCTGGCCGGGAGGGGGACAGACCCTGCATCCCGAGCATCTCTGCGGTCCCGCCAGCTCCTCTCTCTTCATCCCGTCCCCGGGAATCGGGGCTGGGGGACAAAACCTTGGGACCCCAATCTGGGAGGGGGCTCTCCAAAGCACAAGGCAGAAGGAGCTGGAATTGTGATTCAAGCTAAATTTTAGATCTAAAAAGCATCCCAGGGTCTTTGCAGGGAGGTGGGAGCTGATGGGTGCAGCTACTCCTGCACTTCACACGAACCTCCGTGTACACCTCACCCCTCCATCCCATGCCCCGTGTAAGGCATCCTCCAGTCTGTCCCACACCGCCTCCATGCTGGGCTGCCTGGAGGAGGCTCTGCCTGCCCTGAGCCCTCCCTCTGTGGCGTCCCGGTAACTCACTGCGCATTTGACAGGCCGGAAGGAGAGGAGGTGCTCGGTCCGGTAGCCACTGTTCCCACTCCAGGCCTCCCACCGGGGATAGTCACCCTTCTCCAGGATAAACTGCTGTCCCTGGTACTCAGGGTACTCGAAGCCTACCCAGCTGGAGGGAAGAGGAGGAAAACCCTCAGGGATGTGTGACACAGTCCCCAGGATCAGTCAGGGGTCAGATTCTCCTTCCTAGGCGGGGGACAGAGACATTCTGGCAGATTACAGGTCTGTCACAGATGCTGGGGTCTTGGCTAGCAGCAAATGTCCCTTTTGAAAGTGGAACCCCTCTCCCCAGAGCCACATCATTGCCTCCAACCTGCACCTTGGCTTGGTTATTAAGCTGACTGCCTGATCAGCAGATGGGAAAACACAAGGAGCACGAGCAGGGAGGTCGTGTGATGAGGCTGTGTCATAGCTGAGGAAGAACCTGGGTGTTCTGGCTCCCTAGCGGCTCCCAACAGTCCCCTGGGAGCAGTGGCTTTGCTGGAGTGGGGTGTGCCAAGGGGCCGCGGGGCTGGCGGGGCACTTACGGGCCAGACTCCACCTTGATGGAGCGGATCTTGCGGAAGCCGCGCTCCATGATGCTGGGGCACTCCATGAGGAATTCGCAGCGCTTGCCCTGGAAGTTCTCCTCCTCCCACACCGTGATCTTGTACTGCCCCAGGGTGTCCATGGCTTCACTGCTGGTCATACGGGTCTCTCGGCTGCTGGCAGAGCCCCACGTGTCACCCCAGGGCGGTGCCCACCATCAGCCCCCAGCCGCCCTGCTGCCTGCCGCTGAGCCCGGGATGCCGGTGGTGCTGCCCTGGCACATCCCATGCCACTGGCCCCTTGCCCTCCCTGGCTGGCACGGGGGCATTTCCCATTCCCTTTCCTTCGGTGCTGGGGAATCTCTGTCCGGTGAACCCCGAGTTGCAGGGGGAGTTTGCAACGCCCCATCTCTCCATGTGATGTACCCAGGACTGCCTCAGTTTTTCTTCTCCCGAGTTCCCTGTGACGGCTCCAGGAATTGTCTGGGTGCAGTGGCCCCGTACCCACTGCTGGGAGGCGGCGGTGACCCCAGCTCAGACTCAGGCTCAGTGTAGCCCTGGGGTAGAGCAGCCCGGCTCTTCCATCCCTCCTGCCAGGGTCCCTCCTGCCCGCACGGTGCCGCGCTGTGCCGCACAGCACCCCGCCACTTGCCCTTCCCCAGGTGAGAGGTGGCTGGGGGGCTCGGTGTGGGGGTGAAGGGAGCGGGGCAGCGCCTGTGCACTGGGGTCTTGGGGGCTCACAGCCTGGTACTTACTTGGTCGGAGGGCAGGGCACAGAGGCGAAGGTGGCGGTGCCGGTGCCGGCTTTTCCCGTGGCCCTTTATAGGCGGGCGCTGAAGTGCCGATGGTGCAGGCGGTCAGGGAGCTGTGTCAGCAGGCAGGGGCCGGCGGGGGGGACGGGCTGCTCACCCACCCCAGACTCCGGCTGTCCATTCCACTTAGGCAGTGTGGCGAGAGCGGCCCCCCCGCGCCCAGCGAGGCTGACAATGAAAGTGCTGGGCTGTGTTTGCGCAGGGGCTCAGGGCACAATGGGCAAAGGGCCTGACGCGCCGCTTTCCTTTCTGCCCCCGGACAATGTCCCCGCTTGGCCCAGGGATTAGGGACCCAGCCTTTCCCAGGGCACCCGCAGCCTTTGCCAGGGTTGAGGCTTGTGGGAAGGAGGTGCCAGGGTGAAGTGGGGATTTGCCATCTGGGAGCTGAGGGGCACTGATGTCCTCACGTTGGAACACAGGGCTTATCTGGGGCTGCTTCTGCCCCTCCACACGGAGCTCTGCCACCATGGCTGCCTTTTCCAGCCGGGCCCTGCAGGGTTTCCTGTGTTGGCTGCAGACGGGGCGCTAATAGACCCCAGTTACATGCTTGTAATGCCCTGAGCACTTCCCCTGGCTTGACGAAGAGCTCCCTGTGCTCCCATTCACCTCCAGCTCGGGCAGGGGACACTGCACAGGGGGAGGGGACCAGCCTTGGGACAGATCTGTGTCTTTCACCTGGACAAGAGGACCAGCCCTGCCCGGAACTGCACCGTGCCATGCAGCTATCCCCAATGTCTCCTACCGGCACCTGGGATGGATGAGGCCAACACAGGCTGGAAAGGAGGAAGAGTGCCCTGTTGAGCTGTGTTACTTGCAGCATCCCTGTGTAGTCTGTGGTGAGGCCGGGCACTCCCAGCTTCAGCTGGGCAGGTGCCACTCTGGCCACTGGGCAAGGGCTGGACCTAGCACCTCAAACCTTCCCAGGAAAACTCCAGCCCTTCTGGGGGTCCTGGGCATGGGGTCAACGTCACAAGAGACCCGGACATTGTTGGTTATGGGGAATGCAGTGTGGACAGCTAGGGGTGGTGTTAGTACGTCTGGCATCAACAAGAATCGGGGACGGAGGGGTGACAGCAAGGACAGGATGGGGGCAGGACTCGGGGGTCCTCTTCGTGTCCTCCCCAGTGCTCGACGGCTCCGAGGCTCGGTGAGAGTCCGCGCCGATGCCTGCGGGTCCCAGCAGAGGGTGCAGCCTGGCAGCTGTTGGAGCAGGCTCCAGCTCAGGGACATTAGTGGCCCTTGGCCGGGGACAGGCGCTGGGGAGGCGACACTCAGCTTGCGTTGCCTGAAGCGGTCCTAGCAGGGAGGGGGAGACCCTCTGGAAGCTCTCTGGGGAAGCAGAAGGTGGAGGGAAGGATAGGCATGCTCCCTGGAGAAGGAACAGCACCTGACGCAGCCTAGTGGCCTGGGGACATCTCTCAAAATGCTGAGAGACAGGTCTGGACAGTTTAAGGAAGCCATCACCTTGGTGAAGGTGAGGAAAGATGCAGAGCTAATGGACTGCAGGGTCCCCCCACGGTGCTGCCACCTCTTGCCTGGGCTGTGTGAACAGAGGTGTGGGGCACTGCTTAGTTTGTGTGCTTGAGGCATGAGGGCAGCTGGGGACTCTGAGGTGCAGGGCAGGTGGGGTGTGTTACAGAGTGCCAGCACGTGAGGCACCACAGAACACGTAGGATGCTGTAAGCTGTTATAGGGTGTGCATGTGGAGGGTGTGGGGCACTGTATGGTGTGCTGCAGGATCTATGGGGCACTGGCTGTGCCATGAGGAGTATGCAAGCCCTTCAGTCATCCCCATGCAACATTTTGGATGAAAACACTGGAAGAGGAATGGTGCAGAGGAGAACTGTGCCCCTTCCTTGTTCCTCAGCACAATCCCAGTTGTACTCACTGGGATGTGCCTCGCCTCCCACTTGGTACATTCAGGGCAGCCACATGGCATCCACAGCCACATCAGGGCACAGCAGATCACTGGGGTCACTCACGAGGAGCCCTCCTGTACTGCATCTCAGAATGCAGTTACAGCCTGTCCTGCCCGGGCCATCTCCGGATAGTCTCTGTCACCAGCCAGCATTCCCCTGGCTAGGTCACCTGCAAGCCCCCAGCCACACCTGCCCAGCTGGGGACAGGGCCAGAGGGAGGCTGCTGCGGGGGCAGGCAGTGACTCCGCTCAAGGGCAGCTGCTAATACTGGCTGTGGGAGCTGCTTAGCACTTGCCTAGGGCCTCCTGCATAGGCTAATTTAATAAGGGCCCCTCGTGGCTCCCGGCTCAGCTTGTTCCCTGCACTAGCAAAACAGATCATGTTTCTCAGTGCCACTGGGCACAGCACGGCAGCCAGCAGCCTGGGGCCATGGTGGGAGCACAAGGTCACCCAGGTGCTCCATGCCAAGCCCAGACCAAGCCAACAATGGGGTTGTAACCCCGTGCCTTGTGCAGGCACTGGTCCCAGGACAGTGCACAGCTGGGGGAGCCAAGCAGGCTGAAAGGCAACCACAAGAGAGGTGAGGCAGGTGCTACCCAGGAATCCTGATGTTGTATCCATTGATGTTATGAATATGTGGGCTAGCTGACCAAGGCAGCACAGCTATGTGTGGTCCACCCGGCTGCTACCACAGGCTGAGCTCTGATCACACCCTGCAAGGACCTCTAGCTGCTCTCTCCTTCTCCCCAGCCCTGTTAGGGGCTGGACTGCCACCCCAGGGGGCTGGAGGTCTGGGGGCTGGGCCAAACAGGAGCAGATGGAGCTGGTGCCGGCCCCTGTTTGTCTTTCTCCCAGTTGCCTGGTGCTCTGTTTGTTCTGGGGATGGCTTCCTGCTGTCAGGGCCAAAACAGGTGGCTTTTATTTGCAGGGTCTGGCTGATTAGATCAGGGGTGATGTGCCATTGCCCCCACACAGCCCCACTGCTCCCTTTTTCCTCCCTTTTCTCCCACAGCCTCATTTCTGTGGGAAATCATCCTCCCTGATGAGGATGCAAACACTCTCCTTCTCTCCCCAGTCACCTGTACTTCAGGGGTTCTCTGAACATGGCCACACTAGGATTGGTTAATCTCAGCCCAAACCCCTACTTCCACCTGCTGGATCCCTGGATCCCAGAGCCAAGATGGTTGCTGGGATCCCCAGTGCCACTTGTCCCCTCCGGGAGCATTGCTGGCCACAAGAGCCACGTGTGTACAGGCACACAGCTGCCACAGAAGCCTCCTCACACAGGCACTACCTTGCACAGGGAGCCCTGGCACACGCCAGCTGCCCCACATGCACGTGTCCCCTGTGCACCCATCCACCCCATCCCTGCAGCCAGAAACTCCTGGGATCGCAGAGAGCCTGGCAGATGTTGCTGGGATTAGCTCCCACGCAGGCGCACACGCACAGCGCGGGCTCCCAGCTGTTCCATGCTGGGAGAAGTCCCAGGCACTCGGATTCCCCCAAGGCTGGGCTTGCCGCATACCAGATGCAGCTCCTGCTGCTCCCAGGGCAGGATGAGCCCAGGGAGTGAGAGGAGTGCACTGGGGACCAGGATGTAGACTGGTCTCAGGGTACTATCACCAATAGCTAGGGAAGGGCAAGGACGCAGTGGAGGTCAAGCAAGTGGGACACAGTGCAAGGGGCACCCACACGTTCTCACTCACAGCTGGGTCTTGCAAACAGCTGGATGAGATGGTCCCCCATGCAGCAGCCCTCACCCCAGCCTCAGATTTCCACAAGCACCTCAGCCAGCCACCAGTACCCCCACTGGAACCTGCTCTCCAGATCTGCCCACCTGCTGCCCCCACTGGCACCGTGGCCACCCCAGGCTTACTGCTCACCCCCTCCTTGTGGGACTATGGCTGCCCACTCTTCCCTGTGGCACCCACAGCTCTGGAGATGCACCTGCAACAACCCACCATGACAAGGATACTCCCAGGTGAGACACAGGCTCACCCTGTGCCACCCATTCCCGATCTCACTCTGGCTGCCCCCAGCATGGGGGTGTGCTCAGTCCCCAGCTCTGCCACCCTTGCTCAGTCCCCACGAACTGCCTGGGGAGCTGTGGCCTCACCTGCCTGCTCCCCACTGTTCCCATGGGGACTAATCCCACCTGAAGGTCAGGGAGGCTCAGCCAGCTGCTTACCTCCTGCGTGTGGATTACAGCCTGGGTGTGAGCAGGTGGCAAAGGCTGTCTCCCCAGGTTGGCCCAGCCCTGGTAGGGAACTGACAGCAGCATAAAATCAAGCCAGACTGCTCCAAAAGGGAGCCCAGGGTGGCATGTCCCTCTCAGCCTGAGGTGTCTCTTCTGACACACCCTACCCAGTTGGGGATGCCAGGCACTGGGGAAGAGAAGCCAGTATCTGGTCCTCTGGTCCAGATCCTGACCTGAAAGGGAGCCTGCTGGTGCCAGCCACTGTGCCCTCCTGCTTGTTACCAGAGGTGACCCCAGCCTGGCACCTCCAGGGCACCCCATAACTCCAATGTCATGGAGAAGCTTGCTGGTCCTCACAGAGTCCCCAGTGCAGACCAGTCCCAGCGGTGTGGTGATGGAGGCAGGAGAGAAACAACCCACACCCAGTCTGGCCCGGATGCAGCTGCTGATGCATCTCCTTCAGTGCATTGTATCATATTTGGAGGGATACCAGGGGTGAGCACAGCTGCCCAGATGCCAGCTTTACCTATAGCAGCTAGGGTGTTGTCATGGAGGTGCAGAGTGCGAGATAAAGGCTGGGAGCCCCTGGCAGCCTCAGAGCCAGGGGACACCAGCTCAGCTGGCACCTGGCCAAAGTCCCACTCCACCCCTGTGCTCCTCCACTGCCCTGTCGGCCACATCTGTAGTGGCAGGCACCCCAAGACTGGTGGTGCTCATGCAGGAGGCAGATGAAAAGGCCGGCAGTGGCGGGTCCCCTCCTCCAGCAGCTCCGAGGATCAGCGCAGGCGGGGGCTGAGCCAGGCGCTGCGGCGAGAACAGAACATCCTGCCTCAGGGTTCCCGAAGCCAGCAATAGCTGGGCCAG